AAAGATTTCATAAAATGCCTTTTGGTGAAAGACAAAGAGTAAGTATATATACATATTGTATTATTCTTCTGTTTTCAATTCCTTTTTCCTTGCTCCTTCCTTCTTTTGTTATCTCTTCTTTTCATACTTTCATCTCATTATGTTGCTACTCTCAGAGAAGTTTCTTTTGTTACGCTGTTTAAATTATTGTCTTTCACTCGTTGTGAGGGTGTGTATGGCTCACAAACAACCGGTGCTTATAATGGCTAATCTGACTTCCATATTATTATCTTTCTTCGAAATGTTTTACTTTAATGAATATGTATCAATATATGAATATGTCAGACTGCAGATTACAAAAAAGCAATTCCATTTTGTAATTAAACGTGTATAGGAATCTTTAATTGGCAAAATGTACATTATTCCGACTTTATACAGTAATTATTTTACTCTTGTTGCATTTAAGAAATGATATTATCGCCTCGAAAGCGTCTAAATATCAAACCAACGACATCAACATGTAAAGTTACACTCAAATAATTTTTCGAAAATTTTGTATTCGAATACATAACGCACACGACACATTTTGTACGATATTCGAGCCTACGTCATCGTATTGTATTCTTCGTTCATACATTTTCGTCCTAATTATTCGCCCTTGGATCGCAAAATCGCGTGTCTCCATGTGACAAGAGAAACGCACTATCGAGCCTGGGACTAGAGCACGACCCTCCTCACGACGAGCCTTTCGAATCTTTCAGAAAGCGAATGACGGCGGCGCAATGTCGGGAGCACCGTTGGTTGGTTCGAAAAATAATCAAGCCGAAGAGCGAGAAGGAAATCGCGGGATTGGCGGCGGTCAAAAGAATGGCTTTTATCGAGAATCGTCCTGTCATCAGCGTTATCGATAGAGATGAGCTGGATGTGACCAAGGACAATCTCAGACTGTTCGTCGAACGTTGGCGGGAACACCCGGACAGTCCGTACACGATTGACTCGTATCACACGTTACCAAGGAATCCGCTTCGCGATCGCGACGAATCCATGTCTCTGCGGGGTCATAGTCCCTCTCCCTGCGACAGTCTTCGCAGCAGCAGCACGCAATCGGAGAGGGTGATGATGGACTCTGCCATGAGAGATAATTCTAGCCACTTATTGCCCGTACCAAGTCTCAGCTTGTCCTTGGAAAGGAGAGCTTCCGAAGGTACAGCTGCGCGAAATCGTCGCGATCCCGCCAGTCAAATCGCTTTAGCCGAGGAGATCATCAAACTATCCGAGCACTTGCGTTCGATCGCCACGGGATCGCAGACGAGTGAAGAAAATAATGGAGATGCAATGGCAGTACAACAGTCTACCAAGAAACCTGGCGATGTCGAAAATAATCATAATATCTCGAAGAGCAACATTAAAATGACCGCATCTCATGTCAGTAAAGAGTCTAACGAGATTACGGAGAAACTATCCAGTATCACTCGACAGCGAAAACTCAACGGGACGACCTTTCATAGTAGTCGTAGTTTCGACAAATACAATTTCGATACAAATAATGTGTTTGTAGCCTTGAGGAGGACGAGTATCGGCGATGGCGATGCGTCTGATAGACAAAGGGATTCTCAAAAATATTCCCTTGAACGGACGGCGATTACCAAGGCGATGGGAGAGAAGTTCAATGGAGGAAAAATCAGCAGAAGAAGGTCTTCTGTTGGTCCAGAGGAAATGGATTTGACGCCACCTTGGCGGCGATCGCGAGTGAAACGATCCTTCTGCGAAACTAGCAGGGATGTTCCACGGATATCGAATTTGCGGGATCTACACAAGAATCTGAATTTGGACGAGCCGGGCAGCGCTAAGGACCTGCTATTGCATCTATTAGGCGAATGGGAGGAGGTCACCACGACATCCTGCAGCGGCAACGATGGCAGCGGCAATGTCAGCAGGAAGTCTATGAGCCTGGATTGGTGTGCTGCCGACACGATCGCCAGGAAGACGATGAATTCATTGGCGGAGTATTTCCAGTCGAAGCAAAAGGAAGCGAAATCTTCCGACGTCGCGTCATCCACGTCGCCGACGATATATCGTTGAATAATACATTCATCCCGTTATAGATTGCGCATTTCTAATGATTTCTAAGATTTGCGAATTTCTAAGATTAGTTGCAAAGGTATCAGGAAAATGCGCGGCGTTAACAATTGGCACATTCAGCGGACTCAACGGTTGAAAAACGAGCGTTCGCTATTATTGGTATATTCTTTTAACTTATCCAATTAGAATTTTAGATCTAAAAGATAGATATTAATAGCAACGAGCGCTTATTCAACTGTTGAGTCTGTTAAATGCGCCCATTCTTTCTTCTTTCTCGTCGCAAATGTTATTTTGGAACGGTTTGAAGCTTAAAATGAAATTTATGCGTCAAAAGGCTTAGGGCACTAATATACTTAATGAATCATAAAAATTAATCTATGAAAATGTAAAATTCTGTAATTTTTAAAATTATTTTGAAAATTGATTTTATAGTCTTTTAATTCCTTTGAATTCATTTCGATCATTTATGTCTTAAAGAACACTGTTACAAATAACAAATAAGTGCACTCTTATTTCTTATTTAACTAAGTTTTTAAAAAGAGATTACAAAGAAATGTAGAAGAATTTTTTAAATATATTAAGAGGGATGGATAATAAAAGGTATCAGTAACTTTTAAATATCTTTACGCCTGCTTACGTTCATCGATGATCACCTGAATTATCTCCGTTTCTTATTTTCACAATTAAAAACAAGACAGAATCCTGCAATTTCGTGACATTTCAGGAAAAAACGTTACGAAAGTGCAAGATCATAGAATTTCTCTGTAATTAAACTCGAAATATGTAGATTCTAATGGATATTTATGCACAGAGAGATGAAAATGAATAATGGAGATGGTGGCTTTAATGAAGACTGTGAGAGCGATAAAAAACTGATGAATTACAAATAAAGTCTACGCGGTTATACTTTATACTCTAAGCAGACTTTCCAATAGTTGTGTACCATCAACACACCCTCCAATTATTAATATTTTTATATGCGTCAGAGTATATTAATTTTTATCAAAAGATATCTCTATCGCTTTGATTCAATTTAATCCCTTGCGAACTAATAAATCTATCGTGACGCTTTTAATAACAAGAATGACGCAATTATTCGTTCCAAAATTCTTTCTCTACAACTTTTATAAGTTCCACAGGAAACTGTTATATTTAATACACATATATTGTACTTTTATTTATTAATAACATTATTTGAATATATTCTCTGTATTATAGTATAATAATATTAAATATAAGAAACGCACTGTAGATTAAGTCTAGATTTTTTTTACTAAATATGTTACACGAAATTTGCAAGAGAGTCGATTGGAATAATATATATTCTTGTTAAATGGTCACTGTTCATATTTTATATTTAATATAAATCACAGTATACTCTACACATAGGAAAGAAAGTTTTCAATTACTTCATGCACCCATACATCTCCCACAACAATGGATAGAAATTGATTAATCTTCTTGCTATAGGAAAAGACCGTCTGCGGGAAAGCTTATAGAGCATCGTTGGCTGGAAGCCGCTCTGGAGAATCCGATACAGAAACACCGATTGAAACGCTACGTCATTAAAAAGCGTTGGGTTAAAGCTGTTAACACTATTCTGGCATTGAAACGGATGGGCGCGCGTTTAGACTTTGATTTGATCTAATATATCGGTAACGTCATCCAAACTTGATGACATTATACGAAAGAAATCGTTGTAATGATTGTAACAAAGTAGCAAGAAATCAAAATTTGAAAAAATTAAATCATTTAGTTTACAATGAGGTTTCATTAATATAAGATATATTAATGAAAATCTTATTGACTTCAACCTTTGAATGTCTTTATGATCAACTAATTTGATTCATTGTTTGCTTCGATAGAACTAAGGTTTTTGGGTATTTGCGCCAAAAATGAATTTGAAAAATTAAAGTAAGACGTTTTTGCAAACAAACGTGCAGATCAACACTTGGAAATCATAAAATAGTTTGCTACACTATCCAGTAAAAAATGACCGTCAATTTGATGAATCGTTATCGAAATCATCAGTTCTTCAATTATTAATTCGATGTCGAATTGATTCGATGAGTCGTTTTTCGCATATTTAAAATAAATATTTACCATCAATATATATTTCTTTTTATGTATTGCCTTGCATTATTTCTGCAGTTTAATTGTTTATTCAACGCGGATTTTAATTACAGAATCTGTGACAGAGATGTATAATGAACAAAACTCAAGAGAACAGGAATTTTTATTTAGAACAAAATAATAGACACGTAATTCCGACATAATATATCATTCGATTGTGTGAAAACAGGGTCATTTTTCTATTCACTATTGTCACGCAAAATGCTGAATTGCAAATGAAAAACATTCACAGTTAAACGGATAATTTGTCAGCAAATTACAATCATGCAGTACTCTATTGATTGAAATTCAATAAAATTGAATTTTTCCTGCAGCTGTTTAATTTATGGATCATATAATTTGAATTTGTATGAATATTAAAGCTTATTCCTTAAAGCTAAACTAGTATACATTTATATTTAAAGCGAAGTAGATATCTATATATCCATTTATCTATATAAGTATTTGGCAAAAGCGAGATAGAAAGTTTTTAATGCAATCCAATAGAGAGATAAAGAGTAGATACAATAAGTCGAATGTAAGGAGAGAGTAAATGAAAGCGTAAATAAAATTTCTAGGAGGCGAAAATTGAGACGACGAAACAGAAAAAAGATATTACTTTTTTTACATTTTGTTATCTTAATTTTTTGTCCTCTAGAAGTTAATTGTTAACTTTTATCTTGATATCGATATTTACATTCGACTTATGCTCTGATTTTTATTTTCGTTAGAGTGTGATTATTTATACATATAACTTGTATAATATATTACATATGTATTGTGTATGTATATTTTGAAAATATTACATTATGCAAACGCTCACATATATAAGATTATACATATATGTATTTTATTTAACAAAGTCTTCAACAATAATATATAAATTGCAAAAGTCATGTAAATGAATCACGAAATGAGAACAATTTGAACTTCCTAGAAGAAGAATATGATCCGTTCGAATTGTACGTGAGTCACCCTGTATATTTATAGTTATAATGTCTCCCGTCTTCTAAACACAATATTATGATTCGTTTCGTTTGCGTCATTTATACGAAATAAGATTGTGATCGCGATAGTTTATTTGCAATAATTTTATTTGCGATGCGCTTATAATTTATTAATTAAATAACGTACGATATATAATCCAACGCATTTGTTAGTCGAAATTATTATATAATTTTGTCTTACATCTTCTGTATAAATTACATAAAGTTTTACAAATTAAACTAATAATTTTAATATATTGACATATACGTTATAAAGATATGTATACATATAATTTTTTTATGTTTCGCGCGGATATAAAAATCGAAACTATGTTACCCAGTGAGAAAATTTATGAATATGCTACATAGTTCCACATTCACTTTTAAAGGCATAGTTGGCGCTTCAGTTTATTTTGTTTACTTCTCGTCAAATGAGTGATCTATTTACTAAATATTTAAATGCGCTTTTAGTGCCATAAATATATTAACATGGTGAGTGTTTATTAATGAAACATTGGAAAAACAGATAAATTGTTAGTTGATGTTAAACTATATATAGGATATATTAACATAAATAATATTTTTAGGTTATATAGCGTAATTCAATAGTATTTTAATAATTAATGTGCATAATATTGTATTTAACAATAATTAATATTTAATTTTAAATATATTAAGTGATAGTAATTTATAATTTGTATTAAAAATGATCATATGATTGATTTTTCAATATTTTTATTTAGAGCGAAAACATGTTGCAAAATTGGAGCCCTTATGCCAGAGAGTACGATCCCTTAAAAGCAGGTAGTATCGATGGGACAGATACGCAACCTCATGACAAGGCTGTTAGTAGGGCAATGATAATGCACTATGAGCCACCGCACAATCTAGAATCTAAGGCGGAAAGAACTATATTTGTAGCTAGGCTTGGTCCAAAAATTACTAATTACAATCTGAAAGAGGTAGAGAATAGAGTTATCTAAAAAAAATATATATATACATTTGACAATTTTATTATACGCTTTATATAATTATTTATAAACTTTAAATTGTTATTGTTTAGTTTTTCAGCAAATATGGAGATGTTATTTCGGCAAAAGTGATAGTAGATGTAGTAACTGGACTCTCTCAAGGATATGGTTTTGTGGAAATGAAAAGTGAAGAGGAAGCTAAAAGAGTGTTAAGACGAACTGTCGATGCCACATTAAAAGGATATAAAATTTTTATTGATTACGAATGTGGTCGTAGCTTGAAAGGATGGAAGCCGAGAAGACTTGGTATCTATTCAATAGTTTAATATATACAATTTTTCATTAAATATATACAATCTTTATTGACAAATATTACCAATTTTTATATAACATCTGTGTTATATAACCTTTTTAGGAGGTGGTTTTGGTGGCAAAAAAGAATCGGGTCAACTGAGATTCGGAGGAAAGGATAGACCATTTAAACGACCAATTGTACCTAATATTTTAAAGCCAAAAAAATAAATAGTCTCTACGTTGACATTTATGACACTATTTTCATCGACTCTGTTGCTATCTTTTCCTATCTTCTCTCTCTGTCTTTCTCTCTCTCTTTCTCGTTTATTATTCCAACACATTAATAAAGCAATTGAATTGAACATTTTGTCATTCACTGATTTGGGTTCGCCTCTGTAATTTTTATCACACAGCTCTTGCTATTTTAATATCGTAAACCCCGATAAATCCATTATAAAGAATTTACAGAATATTTGATGTAATTTTCCCAACGACTGTCATTGAAATGGACAAGCGCATCGTGTTTCATTTCCTATCGTAAATCGTGTGGACAATTTTACATTAAATCTTCGAGAAGTAATCTCAGACACATTGCAAGATCGTATTCGCGTACGCCGGCAACTTTATACCGCATCATCGCGATCTCCCACATACGCCTCTCTCCATATAAGGAGGCACCTCGCGATTACAGTACCGAATTTAAGTTTCCGATACCAACAATAATAACGATGATACTGATAAGAGTGATAAGACTCTTCTTTCTTACTCGATTTAGGATATCCATGACACCTCAAACAATCCACTTTCGTTCATCATAGCTTCTATTTTGTTGCTCAAACTCTATCACCTTTTTTATTTAGATTCAGAACGTGCCATTGCATATTCTCTCCTGGATATATTATAAATATATTGAAAAGCAATTGTAAAAAAATATTTTTTCATAAGTTTAAGAACCTTTTCAACTTCATTAATGCGAAATAAATCGTCATGAAATATATCTTAAAAAAAAAATACTAATGAATCATTTATCCTACTACAGAGATTACATTCTATAAATTATATTAATTAAAGTATTGTAATAGTAAATACATTAGAACTAATAAATTGCATTTGTGCAATTATATGCGTAGCGAAGAGAAATCTCGAGTTAATTTTCGATGTACCGTCATTTTTATTTTAAAAGTTTCTCTCGGTAGTCGAGCAGATTTTTAGCTGATCTGACGGGACTCGCGGATCAGCCAGTTCATCATTGTCAACAACTATCGGAAAGTGGGGGCGTGAAATCCTAACAGGCCTACTTTGGAGCAATCATCCGTCAAATCCGTTCGGCGGAAGAGAACCCGGAGTCGCCGCCGCAGGAGCTGAGTTGGAAGTGCGACTTGCCGGCGAAAGACACGAAAATAGTATCAACCAGGATCGTATCACTCCCGGTAGTCCGCGTATGTGTACGCACGAACCACCGTTTCTATTAATAGAACAAAAGGGAGTGTGAAAGAGAGAAAGAAGGGCAAGAGAAGAAATGAGAGGCTCTAAAGCGAAGCGGGCACGACGCCCGGAGTCCCGCTGATGTCCGACCGTGATGACTTCGCGGACCTCAGAGCGGCTCAGGCTGTCGCGGACTCCACATTCCACCGGAACAAGCTCCTCCTGTGCGTGTGCGTGTCTTTCTCTCTCTCTCTTTCTTTCTCTCTCTCTTTCTTTCTCTCTTTCTCTCTTTCTCTCTTTCTCTCGCGTTCTCCCGTGGAGGGACCCTGGTTTCACCCTTTCTTTCTTTTCTCTCTCGCTATTTCACCCAGTTGGGTCACCTCCGTGAAAAACCCATCTACACGCACGCATATACGTCTCTACGTACACGCTCGCGCACGCACACACTCGCGCGCGCAAGCACTCATCCACACGCATTGACACCACCCCGAGTGTAAGTTCAACATTTTTTCATTCTGTATTTGATAGTCTCGATTTTTTTCTCTCTTTTTTCCTTCTCTTTCTTTTTTTTTCCTTTTCACCATCTCTGTCGAACGGCGCACTCCCTCGCTTTCTCTTATTAATCTTCATTCTGGGAGGAACATTCGCGATGAACCGCGCGTCTATGTTCTTCCTGCGATGTGATTGTTGTGAATGTGAAAACGACGTGGTACGACATGAAGTAATTGACTCGAGAAAGCTTTCTAGCGGAAATTCGCCTTCGCATCAGCAATGTTTATATTGCCGAGAAATTCGCGATTGCTCACAGCGAAATCACTTGGCAAATATTTTAGCAGAGTTTTTCTATTCAAAGAAGAATCAATAGACGTGAAATTACTCGATAAAAGGATCTTCCATTTTTAATGCTAGGAACTTTTGAATAGTGAACAGTATTCTTCGCTCAGTGGAAATCTCGTGAATACGTAACCACACGAAGCACGCCTTTATCTAGGGTAACTGTCCCTATTAATGTGCCTTTTATCCAATTTGCTTATTACTGAATTAATTAATAAATATTGTAGCTTCCATTTTATCTGCTTGCACTCAATATTGGTTTTTCAACTACTTCTTTTTCTTATAATATTTCTTTAATCTCAAAAATGTTAATACTTTATAATGTTTTTGATAAAAATAGAAAACATGTTTTTATCCCTATTAGTGAGTCCTCTAAGCGGCGATGATCCTATTAATGTGCTCCCAATTTGTGTGCCTATCCACATTTGACTCATTTTAACATATAGTTACTAAAACAGGTAATAAATTTAAACTAATTGTTTATGTAAATATTACATAAATCATTATTTCAATTATATTTATTTCAAAGTACTCTCACTCATAACACAACGTTCTCAACTCCAATACAAGGTACATTAATAGAGACAAACTTAAAATCTTGCAGTACGTATTACTGGATTCACATAAATTTCTCATATCTTTCGAAAAATATTTAAAATATTTTAATACTCAAAAAATAAAATATCTTCGATATCATATTTATTTTATATTATTATTTATATTAATAATTTCACAAAAAAAAATATTTTTTCTTATTTATTTGTACTAGTTTTCTTTATGACTTACCGAAATACAAAAGCACACTAATAGGGACAGACACAGTAATTGGAACGGTTACCCTACTCGTTCAGTGAAAAGAATTGCGCGTATCAGTGAAAAATTTTTGAACTTCGTTGCGGCAGACGTGCAAGTGAATGATTACGTGGAAAAAGTAAATGATGTAAGATCTTATGGTACTTTTGTTATTTTGCTAAGTATCTTTTACGACGTAAATTAATGATCTCAGCAACTTTATTTGCGGATTCATCGTGTGATCCTTCTTGAATTCTATTATCTTCATTTTCTTTATCTTATTTTTTTAATAATATTTTTGTTATTTCGCATTATTGAAGTTAAAATTGTGTTTAAAAAAGAACTCATAAAATCGTAAAATTTATGATATATCGGACGATATTGTAGATAAAAGACGGATGTTACTTTTCGTCGACAGAGAATAAACAGTTTCATATTTTGAATTCGATCTATTTTAAATCGCAACAAATAACAATGGCGAGTTAAATTAAGTTGCAGAATCGTGAATGCAAATCCCACAGCATATTCATCCGACAGACATCGTGGAACGTTTTTAAAGCATTGATCAGATTGAGCTTGAAATTGGATTGAATTTAAAATCAATCAAAAGAAAGAAAGCTTAAAAAAGAAATCTTGAGTTTAATGAATTTTACTTTTTGATTAGTTACATTCTAATTTAATTCGAATTTAATTCTCAATCTCAAGCTTTAATTACGACTTAAATGTCTCCAAAACGTTCCTTAAAGATCCGTGCTGTATAGAAATATTTCGACGTTGCAAAAATCCAACAGATATATCGCGAATATTTTTGCGAAGAAAGTTGCTTTTTCCAGCAAAAGTATACAAAGTCATGATCAGGCTAGAGACTGAGATTGAGTTTGGGTTGGAATTTAATCAAACAGAAGGAAGAAAGCCAATCTCAAGTTTAATAAACTTTGTTTTGATTGGTTAAATTCCAATTCCATCTCAATCTCACTCTCTATGGTTTGATCACAGTTTAACACAGGGCTTTTTCCAGCAAGAACACAGTACAACATAGTGAATCATTTCGTCCTTGTTTAACGTTGGCAAACAACAAGAATATTCACTGTGTCCATCTGTGTCTCTCACTGGAAAGCAACCCACTTCCCCAACGGTTCCGTATAGACATAGGTCTAGTGTTACGAACTCCATGAATTTCGATGTTCTCCGTCCACGTAAAGAAACAGCAGGAGAAGAAACGACGAAGAAAGACGAGCGGAACGAGGGAACGAGCATGTTGTATCACTAAAATTAGAGCGACATGGCAGAGAAGGGGACGGCTCCTTATAGAGCTTGAGCGCGATGCCGGAGCTTGCGACCAGGGTTAGCAAACTGGCATTTTCTCTTTCTCGCCTCGAAGTATCGGATTACTTTGGGAACGTCGGTGCGCGCCGTCCGGCCCATTCAGCTTCGGCTTTCCTCCGGATACCCCTTTTCCACGCAAGGTTCGACCAAGCGCAAGCATTTTTCTACATCGCCCCTCGTGCCTCTTTCTCCGGGTGCCCCCTGCCACCCTTGTTGCTTTCCTCTCTCATCTGATCCTTCCGACCTCTTCTTCTTCCACGTAATCTGTAACCGGTGAGGTTTCCAATTTTCTATCCTTCAATCCTCATTATTTTTTTAATCTATCGTTAACAAGTGATCTGATTGAGATCGTTCACATGAAATTGATCGTGACGTGCTTATCGTCGAGATGGTACCGATATCAAGTTACACGCATAGTTGAATTACAAGAACTGTGACAGCCGTGTTAAACGTCACCCAGATTTCAGTTTACGACGATTTTACTCAAGAATTGTTACAAGTGTTATGTTACGTGATGAGGGTGCTTTCCATTTGTGACATAAGTTAACACAAGTGCCATTCTATCTATATTATTCATTGAATGCTAAGAAAGATAGAAGAATACTTATGTTGACTTGTGTCACCAAATGAAAAGCACCCATAATCTGAATGACGCAAATATTTCCTCGCGAGGATCGCGTAATGTGTCGCAACTTCCATCGACCAGTGTGATCTAATTAGCGATTCTTAAACATATATCGTTTTTTTAGTCACTGTCCAAAAACTTTCTCTCTTTCTTTCTCTTTTTCGCCGTTTTGTAAATCAATTTAGTATTTCAACGTCTCGTTTTTGTTGCAGCGCTTTAAACAGCCGCCAATATGTCTGACGACGAGGAACAATACTCGTAAGTAGCTCATCGATCATGACTCTCGAGCCAACATCGATTGATATAAATTATCATCCTTGCATTGTTCGCGTTCGCAGTTCTCAATAGTTTATTTTGAAACTGATGCAATTCCAATTTTAGAACGTTATTATTACGAATTCCGACGAGGACGTAAAAAATTCACGCGCTTGCTATTAAAAGACTCCGTCTATTCTTTTTTCTTTCTTTATTTCTGTAGAAAATAGATATTTGCACAATTTTCAAAATAAACGATCTTTAAAATACCCAGCATGAAATATTTCATTGCAAAATTTGAAATATTTCAGAAATTTTTCATGAAGCATTTCTGAAATATAAACATGTTCAGGAAATCAGAGTTTTTGGAATATTTTTGACCTTACAATAATTGTACAATTTTAAATTATTTTGGTAAAGTATTTTAATGCAATTATTTTAAAACGTTTCTTACAAATTTTTACAAAATATTTTTGAAGTATTTTATTAAAATATTTTTATTAAAATGTTTTTAAAAAATGATTTCATATAAATATTTCATGATGTATGGGTGAATATGTGATATCGCCGCTCTCCGAGATGAGTAGCTCGGAATAATGCGAGAGAGAAGTGCCGTGATATATGTCAGTAATTTCCAGACATGAAAAATAGGATGCCGAAATCGAAGCGGTAGACAAGATCGTGGCTCGCTGATCGTTGATCATGTTTCATACGAATCAAAAGTCCGAGCAAAGTTTAAAGTTCGTCCACGTAAGGTTAAACAGCGCCCATGATCTGTGACCTCGTCGTGTTTAATGTTTCACATGTTCGTCTAATTTTGCCGTCTCGATGTCCGTCCCTGCGTGCGTCACGTTCCAATCGCACCTACGCACGAACCCCTTAATAAGCACTCAAAGCGAAACTCGAACATTTCAGCCGACTTTTAATTGTCACTCGATGACGTGCTTGCATAATAATTATTATTTTTTAAATGCTTTTTCTCTTACATTGCCGCTTCAAATTTTTTCTAGAACAATGTAATTATATTTTCTCGTAAATTATATAATTTGATTAGTTGTTATAGAAAATTCACTCTCAGATCGCAATAAAGAAGAAACAAAATAAAATTCAGTAAATCATTTTTATCGCGTCTACACTGAAAAAAATATTAAATTTTAGTAAATATTTGTTTGAATAGTTCTAAGTAAATATTTATTATATATAGAAATCATTAATTTAATTTAACTATTATATTTTTTAATAAATATTTATTTACTTTAATATTTATTTACTTTAAAGAAATGTATATTCAAATTTATTGTCACATTTATGTTTTACAAAATAAAGTTCGTATAATATTTAATACTGACAATAATTAATCTGCGCGAGAGGAAAAAAAGCAAGAGCTTTAAGCAATCCTGAAAAAAACCTAAACCCCTAACTCTTAAAAGCGATGCCCTCGTGAATCTTCCTGCTCACCCCATTTATCACCCCATTCAAACGCCCCGATAGCACATTGTGTTCTGCCCTGACTAAACTAGACTTTTTTCCGTTTTGTCTTTTACAGCAGCGAGGAGGAAGTCGAGGAAGTGTAAGTGTTCACTTTCGTTATATGTTTTCCTAATTAAATGCTTTCTTATTTTTCTAACGTACGACTTGTCTCGTTTTCTTATTTCAGGAAGTAAGTTTCAGAGGCTTGTAACGAGCGCTGTAGCTACTGCGAAGACGCGATCGCGGCGAAAATATTCGTTTCAATCTCGTGATGAAAAGCGTTTTTGACAGTTTGTTTCCAGTCAAGAGTTCAAAGCGCAGATAGATTTGATTTTTTTTCTTTCTTTCTTTTACAAAATACACACAGAAAAATATCATTCTATTGCTAAAAAAAGTTATTACTCAATTTACTTTCTTTCTTTTCTTTTTTGATGATTATCTTTAACAAAAAATATTTTCTTGAAAATAAAATATATTTATTAATTTTAGAAAAATTCATTATTATTTATGTATTAAAATAAGAATTTATTTTTTTTTTAAATATTTTAAATTTTATATTTGATCGAAGAAACTTTATATAAGATTGACGACTTTTTGTAATAAGCAAATTGAATTAATTTTAATTTAATACTTTTGATTGAAGTACTAAACTTACTAGAATATATTTTGAATTTAATGCTAGTAATAAATTTATCAGATTTGCGGATGTAAATGAACGTATAAATTACTTGAAACAAGCAATTATTATTTGCTTTTAGTATGTATTTTTCTGTGTGTAGGAACGCGTACTTGTAAGATGTAGCGTTTCACGTTTATGTGCGGAATTCAGCGATTTATCGAGCAAGATTTATACAGATCCGAAAAGCAAGACCGGAGCTGCTCTTTCTCTTCCTCTCTGTTTGGCAACGTCGTTATATCATCTGTCGATGCTCCTCTTTCGTAAAATTAGAACGTCAAGTTAGATTAAAGCTAACGAACGCGCAACGGAACGCACGATGAATCGATAGTGAGAGGAGCGTAAATGAAGAATAATCGTTTTCCGAAGTCTCGTTTGCGCTGCGCAACACGCCAGATTTCTCTTTCTGATCGTGATTTATGAACTCCGTCTTCTTCTTTCTTTTTTTTGTTTATTCACTCCCTGTCTCTCTCTCTCTCTCTCTCTCTGTCTGTGTGTATCTCCACATACAACACACAAAACCAACCAATCAATCAACCAACCAACCAACCAACCAACCAATCAATCAACCAATCAACCAATCAATACCAATCGTCACTCGTCATCGACCGATCGGCTAATCGACCCGCGCGGTATGATACAAAAAATGTCAAAATCGAAGGCAGCCGGAGAAGAAGACCGAGTAAGTTTTGCACACGACAATATGAACGTCTCTCTCTATCTCTCTTTTTTTACGACCAATAAATGATGTACATTCACGCGCTGTTGTCAGTGTCGTTTCTTTTTTTTCTTCCCCGCTGTCTAATCGCTGTCTTGTCTTGTTGTCTCGGTGTAGTCTTTAATTGTTCGTCCATTCTCTGTTTTATACTCTCTCTTTACTTTGTTTTCATCATCTCACACGCGTTGTGCTGCCGCAGTCATTTACTTTTGCATAGAATTTTTTTGTAGCGATATACTTGCTGGCTCTCTCTCTCTCTCTCTCTCTCTCTCTCTCTATCTATCTATCTATCTATCTATCTATCTATTTATCTATCTATCATTTCCCTTTTCCCTCTGTATTTCTATCTCCTTGTCTTTCTTTTTCTTTATTTTTTTTCTCTCGTCAAATTGTTACACATAAAAGAAGAACGTGATTGAGCGATCGCTGCAAAACACTTTCTATTTTCTATTTATTCGGTTTTGTTTGCGCCAACACATGAAAGACACTTTTTAGTGTGACGTTCTCCTTTTTTGTGTAACATTGTCTCAAAAAGAATGCTGATACATCCACCTTCTGCACCTCTCTGTTTCTATTTCAACTTTTAAAATACCATACGTTCTGCCGGTGTATTCACTGTCTTCTCAACATCTGTCTTGTGTCGATGTTCTGCGTCGATGGATTAAATAAAACAAAACAAAACAAAACAAAAATAAACAGCAATGCTATCGCGCTTTTTTATGTACACAGATGTACACGCATATTACATGTACATATATCTCACGTATGACATATAAGACATCGAGATCATTCAGCATTTTGACAGGATTATCGAGAATGCAGTGTTGCAAAAGTATACACATTTTACACCCCGCACTTTTATTCCATGCCTCATCTTTGTCCTCCGCCGTGTCTGTCAACAATATCTGTCGCCTTAATATCAGCCTCTGTTATCCGCATTATGGCAAATGGGCAACGAAACGTTTCTTTTTCTTTTTTTGCAAAAGTGCTACGAGATCCCCGTTGAGGAGAAAGCAACGACGAGCCGCTTAATAATTGAAAGCAAGCGATGCATACTGATCACTCGCTCGCAATATAAATGCGGAACGACCAGTGATCTCTGCAATAAACGTGCAATCAAACAAAATCCGCGTGATCGAGCGGTCGGTTCGGATTTAGTTTGCACGGAAAAAAAAAAAATATATATGAAAAGAAAGGAAAGCGCAAGTTGGAGATGAGCGATACCGATTTTTATAATTTACGTGCAGCTTTGTGCAGTCCTACGTAAGCGACGACCAATCACACGACCTTATTAATGAATCTGTACTTTCTTTTTTTATAGGGGTAGGGCGTCCCAAAAGTAAGTTGAATATATCGAGGTGTTTACACGTCAATAATATATCTTTCCTGTTCTTCGGCCGCTCTCTCACATCCCCTCTCCTCCGCCCATTGGTTTTTCCGACGTCGATTAAATTCGATAAAAATCTTTAAAATCTTAGTCTCTTTAGAGAGATGGTATCTTTTTCTTCAATTTTCTGAAAGCAAAAAGAATTATTTTTTTTTTACTGACATAGTTTTGCGATAAATCGGATGGAAGATTGGTAAAAGATATTTATAAGTTTCCATCTCAACCCCAAAAACATAAAAGCCAACAAAAAATCAAAATTATTTTGAAATTTAACGCAATAAAGAATCCAATTTTGTAACAAAAATTGATTATTTCGACTTTCATAGCAAAATACAGTCACATTTTGACATTTTCCTGATTTGGTGTGTGAGTGGAAGAGGAACACGTTCCTTTGAGAACTTATAAAACACAATTTACCAATTTTCCACCTGATTTAGCTTAAATTATATGATTCAATAAATCATGATTTGAATCTTTGCATCCCTTTGAACTAAATCACGATTTGAATCTTTGCATTCCGAGAATATGAATGATAAAATTAACGATTGAAATTGACTGACGTCGGTAAAATCGGCAAAAACCCTCAGATTTTTCGTCGCGGCAGGAATGAGATCGTAGAAAATCGGCTTCGACATTACAATCGTGTTGCGGCGCGTTGTAGATTTGCCAATTTCTATCTATATCGCTGGGGAAGATTTTGTTTACAGATACGGGACGGATAACGCGATCGTTGGCCTGTGTAGTGCGACTGCGAATAATAAGGATATATTTACTGCATGCCGATATGTACATCGCGTTCGTGAATATTCCATCGCGATTGCATAACACTAATGCGCGATGACACTTGAGCTCCGTTTGGGAGCCCGCCAGGCGTCTCATAAATATATGCACAATAACGTAACACGGTTTATTCTGAGACCGACGTCTGCTCAAAATGTACCACGCCCCGGCGCCGACGTGATCTTATTAACAGCCGGCCGTTCGATACATAATGCAGCATCTGCAGTGCTACATATTTATGCACAATCTTCGAACATGCGAATTTGTCAAATAACATTGTATAAGGAACCATGTATAGCCAGACGTGTATTTGCAGTTTGAACATTAATATTTATCATCGTGTGAAATTGCATAAATTAAAATCTGATCGTAGTTTTATTTTCATTTGTTTTAATTTTTGTCTCGCGAATCTCGAAAACTTAACCGCCAAGTGTCGAATCTTATTAGAGAACATACCGAGAACATTATGTTATCGATATTTTACATTTTAAGTCAAAAGTCAGATTGTAATTTATAACGTAAGTAAGACGCTCTGGATTTCAATCCTGTCGATGACGTCTAATCGCTATCAGTGTTCGAGGTTCCTCTCCCCTTATGTTCTCCTCATACTTTATAATCTTTATATCTCTTTCGCACCCCCGCGTGTTTTACGTTTTGTCTCTCTGATTAATAATGAATTAACGAGTTGTACATAATCACGTCTTGTTTCGAATTACGTCAAAGCGATGTGTCACACGTCCTTCTATCTCAAGGCTCGTTATTTTGTCCGATCCCCCATATTAATTTATATTGACTTTTGCGCCATAATTTATCGACTCGCAAGCAAGCAATAATTGCAATACCCCTGCCCGCAGATCCCATGAATAAACAATTCTTACATCCCGACGACATCTTTTACGATGTAAATTATAAAAAAGAAAGATGTATGATAAATTTTACTGGAACCTTTTAAAATAGAGGAAGGAAAGCCGAAATTTAATAACGATTGCGGCATCCTACCCTTTTCTTCGAGTGTTCTTCAAAGACACAAACATCTCCATGAATTCCTACAGATTGATCTCCAGTTCGGTAAAAAAATCAAACGAATTTATGTTAAATCTATTTAAAAACAATTTTGAGTCGATGCTCAATATTGTCATCTCCTGAAGCGTATCATCTCGATGCATTATTATTATCTCCGACAGCTCTTTTAGTCATTTACGAATTCATAATCCTTACGACTGAATAACTCAATCAAGACAGTCATCTCAAGTAGAATTCAGAAATCATAATAAAAATTGTGAAGTACACCATCATGACCTTATTTGTCTATAATGTACAAGTTCATTTTTAAGTATCAAATAACGTTATGGTGATGTTCTATATCACTATGACTTTATTATGACTCTGTGTTCTACCTGGGATGGAATATTCCCTGCTACTCTCATTAATGCCTTCTCCCATGATTCGCTGCGGTGCGTACTTTGGTTTCTTCTTTCTATAATTCTATATGCTTGCACATTGTCGCCTTACTATTTGCCTCTTTCTTTTTCTTTCCTCTTGTCTTTTATTTTCTTTCTTTCACAAATCGCCTCTGCTCCCTCCCTCTGTCCCGCTCTATTTTTCTCTGTCTTTCTGTTTATCCGTCCGTGCATATATCTGTCTGTCTGTTCCGCCCATGTGTTGTCTGTGTGTGTATACGTGCGACGAGCGGCATTGAATAATATGCACTACGGGAGAGAATGGATGGAGTTGTAATAAAGTAGTGAAGATATGGACGTGAGAATCGCGTATGGAGTTCTGGGGGATCTCGCGAGATCTTCCAGAGAGCGAGCTCAACCGTGATTTAAAGAGAGTTACTTTTGTTTTCACTCCGGCCTCCTTCAGGGAATCTGGCGAGAATCCTGAGTTTATGAAGGTGAGTGTTGGTACTCATAAATAACAATCGTGCGAATGCCCAAAACTTTCCGCGCTTCTTTCGTAATAAAAGGATCTTTTGCGGAAAAGCGAAATGTAATATTGAATATTGGTGAAAACTATATTCCAGCAAGAAATGACCGGCAATTAGATATTGAATCAACGTTGAATTGATAGCGAAATTATTGTATCGATTTGACATCAATTTAATGAGTCACGTCTCACTTAGTTCTATCTATCAATCGCATTGGAGATATATTGAGCACTGGCATGATCGTTACAAGAAACACAATGAAATACGCATTACGGGCTAATCTATTATTAAAAATTCAGAGGCAAGAACAGAAAAGAAGCGACCTCGACGAACAGCTCAAAGAATACATAGCGGAATGGCGAAAACAGAGAGCCAAGGAGGAGGAAGAGTTGAAGAAATTAAAGGTACGATCCTTATTTATACTTGATATCTTCTTGTTTAATATTTTATTTGATTTTAAAAAATATACTGTTAGGAGAAGCAAGCCAAGCGCAAGGTCACCCGTGCAGACGAGGAGAAGAGATTGGCTCAGAAGAAGAAGGAGGAGGAGGAACGTCGCCAACGTGAAATCGGTAAATGCATTTACGTCTATCTCTATTTTCTCCTTTAAACAAAATTTAATACAATTTTTTAAACTTTTTTCAGAGGAGAAAAAACAACGTGACATCGAAGAGAAGAGGAGGTAGGTGTTTATACAATTATTGGCCTATATTCAGAACACGATTTCATCGATAAATGCGCGCTTTTATTTTTGAATTTTATAATGTATGTAACATGAACTACGTGCTAAATACGCGTAACATATAATAGGTATAAGCACGTTATGAATACGAGTCATAATGGTCGGTATATAATCGTAATCTATTTTTATTTGAAAATCGTCTGAAGAGAATAATGTCTTAAATAATGTCTACGTAATGCCTATTAAGATGCTAATACTGTGTGATACTGTATGAACAGTTTACTACATCTTAAGAGACTTCATTCAAGACGGTCTTTTAAATAAGAACCGACTATGAATACCGGTTAATGTCTCTCGTAATGACTGCAAGATTTCTAAACAAGTATATTATTTTATGCATAACAAATGTTTGTGAATCGATTCCTTTCTAAACAGTTGTATCTTTAGTTTAAGACTAAAACAAGAAATTAATTAAATAGAGTAAATAAAAAGAATTTTTTTGATACAAAATATTGATAAAAAAAGAATTAATCGATTGATGTGTAGACATTAATGTCGCACAATTATGACAATCGCAGCAATGTCAAATTATTTACATCACTAACGAACACAAAAATGCTGTATGATATTCTTTGCCATCATGAATTTATTTATTCTATGTAACATCTTTACGATCATTAACAACGTAAGTAATTTGACTTTACTGTTGTATAATCGTTACAATGTAAATATTTTATGCATGTCAATTAGGATTTTAATTTGATCTTTCTCCAGTACTTTATCAAAAGTAGATTATTTAAAATCGAAGGAATTACCAATTATATTCGTATATATAAGTTGTTTCAAAGAAGTTTAATTGATTAAACTTGTAAATATATATTTATTAAATTTTTTATATATACATATTTGCGTGTTATTTTTATTTTCTATATTTATTTGCTATATTTTAGGCGCTTGGAAGAATCAGAAAAGAAGCGACAGGCTATGATGCAAGCGATGAAAGACCAGAGCAAAGCAAAGGGTCCAAACTTTACCATCACTAAGAAAGATCTTTCGGTGAGTGTTCTTTTTATTATCAGCAGCAATTGAATATTCTATAACTAGGATTCTCTTATGTGAATTTAGGGTAATCTTACGTCGGCGCAACTTGAACGTAACAAGACAAAAGAACAACTTGAGGAGGAGAAGAAAATTTCCCTTAGCATTCGCATCAAGCCGTTGGAAATCGAAGGTTTGTCGATTGACAAGCTCCGTGGTAAGGCTACCGAATTGTGGGAGGCCATAGTCAAACTTGAAACCGAAAAGTACGATTTAGAGGAGCGACAAAAGCGTCAGGACTACGATGTGAGTTTTTACAATTCTAAAAATATTGAATTATTTCGTCTTATTTGAACAATATAAATTTATCGCATTCTTAATAAAATTTGAATTGTTATTATATAAAAAATTTTACAAGTAAAAGATTGCATAAGGATGGATTTATTTATACGCGCTCATAATAATTTTATACCATTGGGTCTCATAAAAATAAAAAGAAAGAAAAAAAGGAAAAAAAATACGAAAAATATACATTGACTGTTTCCGCTTGGGAAATAAGTTGCTGGACGCGGGTTTAATTATAGTCCAAGTTGTTTTGTAGCTGTATTGATAAATCGATATTACCCTTTTATTGTAGCTTAAAGAACTGAAGGAACGTCAGAAGCAACAACTGAGGCACAAAGCCTTGAAAAAGGGTCTCGATCCCGAGGCTTTAACTGGCAAATATCCCGTACGTAATATCTATCATATCAGAAAATGAAAGTGGAAGGAAGAATCATCATATTAATCATATCGCTTATTCACAGCCGAAAATCCAAGTCGCCTCCAAGTACGAACGTCGCGTCGACACCAGGTCTTATGACGACAAGAAGAAACTTTTTGAGGGTGTAAGTATACTTTATAAATTATTCAACACATGAAAATTTATTCGATGGTCCCTACTCTCAAAATACGAGGTCAAACCTAGAATTATCTCACTTTGTGACATGTTTACATGAAGTTTTTACATTCAAACATGCGCTCTACCACAAATATGAA